ATACAACATACTTTTTAGTGTTAATGATTTAAAACCGTAACTTTAAGTTTCAGACTTTTGTGTAAATGAAAGGTACCTTGAATCATGGCGTTTGAAGAGAAGAGATGTGCTGTTCTGTTCTGTTTTTAAGCAGTCATCTTTATGATTTCCACCATCCAAACCATTAGTGGTCGACCGATATGGGTTTTTTGACAGCCGCTGCCGATATCTTGGAAAGCAGGGTGGCCGATGGCCGATAAAAATAATTGTATTTATTTTAATTAATATTTAAGAAATTTGAAATCCTTTGAAAATGGATTAAAAAATAAATGTGTAAAATAAACATACTTTTACTTAAGATGACAAAGTATTTTTCACAAATAAATAGATATTTAATAAAAATATAATTAAAAAGGAAGTAAACGCTGTAACCAACAGGGCACTCAGTATTCTGGGAAGTTTGTGTGCATTGGGAATAATATTTTTTCAAACAAAGCCAAGGTAACACTCATTTTACATACAGCACACAGTGAAAATTACATGAATATGACAGTGGGCAAATGCATAAAGCGCAGCATAATATGAAATCACGAGTTTACGATCGCGTGTCTCCAGTGAAGCTGAACTCTCCTTCTATCCGCGTTCAATTCACACGGATCGACCGTCACACAGAGAACACGCGATCATGCAGGATACACATGCACACTTCACAAGATCTCACAACTGGATTCGACTAAGTTTGCAAGGTTTGTGAAGTTAAATGCTCATTATTCATTCAAAGATTTGTTTAAATTATATAAATGCGTATTTGCTGAATGCTGACGGCAAACGAGAAAGTATTATAATGTTTGCCTTTCTATTACTAATAATAAAATACTTTGTATACATTTTAATTTCCTTTCTATCTGATTATTAGGCAGACTTCTATCCGTATTAGACAGAACTGTTAACAACGACGGCGAACAAGAGGAAGAATGTGGGCACTGTGTGCTCAGGCGCTGCCGCTCTCAGCGCCGTCAAAATAAATGTCCCGCCTCAAACACATCGGCTAAACAGAAAAACTTATCGGCCGATGCCGATATTTGAAAAATGCCAAATATCGGCCGATATATCGGCCTTGGCGATATATCGGTCGACCACTACAAACCATATCTAGATTATATAGAATTTTTAGGGGTTGGTTCTTTTGCCTTGGGCTAGTAAATAAACCTATAATTAAAATAAACCTAGTTAAATCTCTTCAATATGCCCTGCTCAGTGTTATTTTAGTTTTATCTATATAGTATTTATTAATATTTTGAATTAACTTTTATTTTTATAGTTTGTTTTTATATTTTTATTAGTTTTTTGTAGTTCGTTGTCATTTTTATTATATTTGAAATATAAATATTCAGCTTTAATTTCAGTTCTAGCAATATCATTTAGTAATTTTAATTAATTAACATTTTAACAATTTAAATGTCATAATTTCATGCAATTTTCTTCAACTTAGAAAGTTTTCAGTTAGTTGTGAAGGTAACATTTCTAGTTTCCATTTAACCTTTTTAAGTTTTTTTTTTTCATCTAATATTTTTATATTATCCGTTTTTAGTTTTAGATTTAGTACTTTTGTGTGCTTTTTTAGTTTTTAAATATTTATATTTCATTTAAATTTCTGTTCTACTAATATTATTTAATAATTTCATCTTAAAATTTAAATGTAATAATTTCCATGTAACCTAAAAAAAAATTCAGTTAGTTGCGAAGGTAACATTTCTAGTTTCTGTTTAACCTTTTTAAGTTAGAATTTTTCATCTAGTCTTTGTACCTTATTTTATTTAACCTTTTTTCAATTAACATTTTGTTGTTGTTGTTGTTGTTTATTTTTGCCTTCAAGTATTCTTGCCTTGTTTTCCAGTAAAAAAAGATGTAAACATCAGTTAAACAAGACAGTTTTTCAGACTTTTGCAGACAATATGTCTTGAATTAAATCAGGGAAGAAACATTAAAATTAGGTTTATGCATAAAACAAGAAAAAAAGCAATCATCTGAAATTATTTAAAATGCAAGCCAATTTTTCCAAAAGGCGTCTTATAATATATTTTTTTTCATTAAATGTAGCATGTAAGTATACAGTAGGATAGTGTTTGTGATTGTGGAAACAATGCTGCCATTGTCCCGAAGTTGATTTTTCGCACACATTTGTGCCTCTGAGTCGCTCCAGACGTGCCATCACACTTTAGATGATATCTTTTCTGTGAGTTCGATACTTCAGACATGACTCAGCTGCTGTGTTTTTATTAGTGGCTCTGAATGAGTGGGCTTTCATGAGATGTGTGCTGGATGGGATACAATGCACATTTTGTGCCGGCGTCCCTTTGTGGCTTTGGGTGGGAGAGGACGGAGAGCTCACTGCAGCCTGGATGCTTCTAACCCATTCTGACTTTCTTAATCACTCTGTCTCTCTTCCAAAGCATAGAGAGCTTCCATGCTGTGTCTGTCTACATAGGCAGCAGTCTTTTAAGGCAGCATCCTCTGTGAAATCGAGCCTTATAAGTGATTGATTTTGAATTGTTCACGTTGGCAACAACTTTGTGTTTCTTATAAGTAGTACTTTCCAAATAGTGCACATGCTTTTGTGTATGGGTGTGTGTATTTATATTATGTGGGCATCAGTAAAAATCGTTTTGAATACTCTTAGTCAGCAAAGAAAAAAGATTCAAATGTTTATTTATTTTCATAAAGGATCCTGAGAAACACTATCACAGTTTCTGCAATATTGAGCAGCACAACTGTTTTCAACATTAATAATAAGAAGAGCAGCAAATCAGCATATCTGAATGATTTCTGAAGGATCCTGAGACACTGGATACACACAATTATTATTATTTTATTATTTTTTATTATTTAAACTTATTTTATTCATATATATATATATATATATATATATATATATATATATATATATATGTATGTATGTATGTATGAATAAAATAATTTTAAATAATAAAAATAACAATAATAAAAAAATTATATATATATATATATTTATTTTTTTTGTATAAAATTATTATTTTTTTCATTACATTACTGGAAAAAATGTGTTATTTAATACTCATGGATTATCAATTATAAATAATTTATACATAAATACATACTTTTTTTCATTAGTTAACTCAAGAAATAAGATCTGGGAAATATTTAACAGTGATTTCATACTTAGATATTCAATACTAATAGGCTTGATTTCCAGATTACCATATATCTAAATTATAATGATTTATATTAATTGAATATAAATATATAATTGTTTTTTTCATTAGTTAACTCAAGAAATAAGATCTGGGAAATATTTAACAGTGATTTCATACTTAGATATTCAATACTAATAGGCTTGATTTCCAGATTACCATATATCTAAATTATAATGATTTATATTAATTGAATATAAATATATAATTGTTTTTTTCATTAGTTAACTTGAGAAAGTACGTCTGGAAAATATAACAGACATTTCATACTTAGTTATTTAATAATCGTGGGTTTGGGTTTTTCATTATTTAACTCAAGAAACTAGATCTGGAAGATTTTTAATAGTCATTTCATCGTTATTTGACACTCATGAGTTTGATTATCAGGGAATGCATGTATTAGTAATAGTCACTTTGAATGATTCAGTAAATGTAAATAAAATGGGGATTAAAAATGTATAAAAATAAAAAATAGAAAATAGTTATTAAGCTGATATCTTCTCAGTGTTACATTGTTGGATCACTACAAATTTAAAACTCGTGTCAGATGAAGTCCCTGAGCAGCCCTCCAGACGCACACAATGGCGTCTGCACAATAAACACTTTAATCAGGTGCTGTATATAAACACCTCTGAGAGGCCATCACACTGCCTCTGATCGGCTCTTCTGGGACTCCTGATTGCTGTAAGAGATCACGTGAACCAGAACTAGAAGAGTGGCAGAGCCTGAGGGAAACCTCGGATTGATACACAGGAAATGAGAGCTTGAACCAGATCTCGACCTGATCCCATAGTGTGACTTGATTAAGACACAATCCTGCTGTGTGTTTTCATGGAAAGGGCACAGAGTGCTGCATTGAGCTCCTGTGGTTTCATCTCTGTAATACATAGAAACCAGTTGTTGTTTTAACCGAGATACAACCCGTAGTAACCCTAACCCTTACCTCATTTAGGATACTCAGATTCATGAATATGCAAATTAGGAGAAAATGCTCAGCAATGATGTTGACTGATGTATTTGCAGATGGTTTGTCTTTAAGCATATTAAAAACACTGAAATAGACATGTAAACGATGTCAAAAACTTCATTTTCATCACAGGGGGTCTTTAAAGGGTTAGTTCACCCAAAAATGAAAATTCTGTCATTAATGTCACCCTCGTGTTGTTCGAAACCCGTAAGACCTTCGTTCATCTTCAGAACACAATTTAAGATCTTTTTGATGAAATCTGAGGGCTCGCTGACCTTCCCATAGACAGCAAGGTAACTACCACATTCAAGGTCCAGAAAAGTACCAAGATGATCGACAAAGTAGTCCATGTGACATCAGTGTTTCAACTGTAAATTTACGAAGCTACGAGAATACTTTTTTGCGCAAAGAAAACTAAAATAACGACTTTATTCCACATTTTCGTCTCTACTGCGTCACTTCGACAGTATCATGACGCGAGCGTGTGGCGGCGCTGACCCAGATCCGGCGTGATGACGTCATAATAATATGTCGGAATAAAGTCGTTATTTTTGTTTTCTTTGCGCAAAAAAGTATTCTCGTAGCTTTGTAACTTTACACTTGAACCATGGATGACACACGGAGCCCTCAGATTTAATCAAAAATATCTTAAATTGTGTTCCGAAGATGAACGAAAGTCTTACGGGTTTGGAACAACACGAGGGTGAGTAATTAATGACAGAAATTTCATTTTTGGGTGAGCTAACCCTTTAATGCTACATATGTGGGGATGGTGTTCTCTGAATTCTACAGCTGATTGGATGTGTCTCTCTTGCCCTCCCCAGGGTTTCGTGGGACAGCGATGGAGAAGTACACATCCTCAGCCCCGGCGCCAGTGACGTGGGAACCTACAGATGCACCGCCACCAACGATTTGGGCTCAGATTCAGAGACAACACTAGTTCTGCTGGCTGGTGAGACATTACACACCGTTGCTCTCTATAATGATGGTTTTGTATACAATTTGAGCTGCTGGGTTTTTATTTCTTTATAAACAGAAACTCCCACGATCGCTGCCTCGCGGAGAAACACGTCAGATCTGAAGAGCAGCAGTCTGAAGGTGGTGGTCGGGGGGGACATCAGTGTCCGTTTAGGTGCCAACCTCACCCTGGAGTGCCCCGCCAAAGGTATGGGACAATTTACAGGTGGATTTCACAATCGAAAGAAAAATAAGAAATTATATTTTGGTAAATTTTTATCAAAATAAAAAATATTCCACCAATACCTTGTCAAACATAATGTGATCTATAAGCACACAAAAAAAAATAATTTTATTACAGTAATTTGAACAAAGATAACATAACATATATTATATTATTAATAAAATATAATAAAAAAAATTACAATTAAAGCACACATATTTTAATATATTGTTTTATAAATAATTCCAAAATCCCTGAAGTTTTTTACACTTGTGCGAAAAAGGGTTAATGCGAATAATAGAAACGCCAAATTTCAAATAAAAATCCCTTAATTCGCAAAAAAGTTTTTACGCTCGCTTGAGGTGGTTTTTGACTTGTGCGAAAAACGGTTGATGCGAATAATGGGAGATGGAAATGCATTTTGCGAATAAATTCCTCCATGCGCATCAAAAAATCATGTGACTTCTGAGTTTCGTCTGCTCGCTCTGAGGCACAAGGAATTTATTATATATGAAAATGATTATATTCAGTGGCTTTCCTACTTTTCTTAGTGATATTTAGTGCAAGTTTATCAGGAAGTGACGATTTTGTTCTCTTTGACTCGTTGGATGGAAACGGTTCTTATTCGTGAATGTTTTATGCGATATTCCAATTTTGCGCAGAAGTTAAACTCGCAACTATGGATTAGAAAGGAAACCCAGCTAAAGTTTCACATTATATATTAGCAAACTTGTAAAATGACAGCTAATTCGTGAGATTTGGCAAAGAAATGCTAACAATCAAATTATTTATCTTACAGTATGTTTGAAAAACAGACGTTCCGTGGCTTTACTAATGTGTATTTTTGTGAGAAAACCTCTTTCCATCATTACGAGCTGCTGCGATCTCCAGTGCGGCCTCAATGTAGATTCGTCAAATTATCGAGATACTTCCCTCTGTGAAAAGTGAGCATGTTTGATGTGTGCATATCCCATGCTTAACAGCTCTTGTCCATGTGGTTTTGGTGAAAGATTCGGCTAATTGGACAGAAATGGTGTGTAAAGTCAACAGGCGTTCAGGATGCCGGGATTTCTATGGAATTTATGCCGCACTCCGTCAATTTACAAACGCCAGTCTACTGTAGCAAAACAGGGCTCCTGTCACTCTATTGTACTAAAATATATGTTTATATAAACAAAGGTTTCTGAGGTCGTTCTGTCTGTCCTCTTCGTCACAATTACTGTAGACTTGTTTATCTAGTGATTCGGTTGATGCAGAGGACACCTGCTGTTAACATTGGCCTCACAAATGGCCAGAAAGCCACAAGTGTCAGCTGTTCTCTCATGCTTTCATCACCATCTGATTCCCTGAGATGAATAAACAGGATTTGAAGAACGCGTCCTGTTGGCTTTGACGGCATAGGCAATCACAGAGCAGTGCATTATGGGTAATGATGTAAGCAGATACTGTATTTGACTGGTTAAGCTGACGGTGTGGAGAGATGTGTTGTTAGAGGACACACACACCCGGATACAGTGAGCGTCTGATCCAGGTCACGTTATTACAGAGCATAATTTAGTCTGCTTATCACGCAGATCATTAAAAATAGCTCCATTCTAAAATCTAGTGAGCTGCCTACATAGACAGCTTACATGTAACCTCAACCCTGTGCACCTAGTAGCTCTTTTTTTATATATAAATCGAAACTATTTTATTAATGCTTTCCAGTATTAAAAAATATAATTGTATTTATTTATTTGTAATTATAATTGTATTTGTCTGCTGTCTTGTATTTGTTAACAGCCTGACTACATAGTTAAAATTAAAATTCTTCAAAAACTTCATAACCAGGAATTGGAACAGAAGGAAACAATGGCTCATAAAATTGTGTATTTTTTCTAATTCTGTAATTATCTAGCAATAAACAATATATTTATTTCTTTTTTCGATAAATGGTGAGAAAATATTGATTGTGTTGAATATTGATTGAATATTGATTGTGAAACAATACTTGTTTTGTATAGTTTATATAGTTGTATAGTTATATAGTAGCATAGCCCAGTATTGGAACAGAAGATATAAAGTGAAACATAAAATAACTTTTTTTTTTCTTTCAGATTATTGTCTAGTGATTAACATTTAATTAATTAATTTTATTTAAAAAAAAAATTAATTATTTATTTAGTGATTGAAAAGACAAATTGTGAAAATATTAATTGTGAATCTCCGAAAAGGTAAAACTAAACTGTTTTATATTTCTGTTCATTTTATATTTATATATTTTTATGTATTTAAAAGTCAGCATTGTCAGGTATTGGAACAGTAGAAAAAAATGGAACATAAAACAATTGTTATTTTATGATTCTGTTATTGTCTAGCAATAAACATCAAATAATCAAATTATATTGTATTTTATTATTTTATTTTACTTTGTAGAAAGTGAGAGCAAATATTTGTGAGGGAAAAAAATATTGTGAACCTCAGAAGAACTTCTTTAATTGCTCTGTTTATTTTACATTTATAAATTTGCATATTGATTATATAGTTAAAATGCTTTGCCAGCATTGCCGGGTATTGTCAATGTTGATTTTAATTATAGAACACCATTGAAAAAAACACAAGCTGACCAATGTGCTTTACATCAATCAATAAAAAAACCTTAAATAATAATTAAAAATAATGCTACTAATTATAATGCTGATAAAATCACTAAGAATATGAAAGTGAAAATAACAATAAAAACAACTGATTGGCATCAACAACTACCTTTCAGACTTTTTCAATGATTGGTCAAAAGCCAAAGAAAGAAGTAGTTTGGGTCAGAGCACTTCTAATGTGTGTTGGAACGGAGCATGTGTTTGTACGAGTATGCAGTCAGTAGGCGGTCAGCACTTAGAGATAAACATTTTGTATGTAATATATCTTCTTTTAATGTTCCATTTTGTTCTTCATCATCATGCAGTTATTGTTCCTGTGTACGTTTCTCCTCCCGATGGAAATTCCCTTTCCAAGAAAGCAGAGGTCACTGCGGAGGCCTGACTGTTTACTGGTGCCAGAGTGTGTCAGTGCCCATGTGTATGCCTGACACGCACACACACACACACACACACACACACCTCAAGGCCTCCGATGTGATTTTCCATTTCTAAGAGTGTGTCTATTCATTGGCTCTCAGACTAACGGCTGTATGTCAGTACTAATGTCTCCATTCAGCAGAACGGGGGATCATAAAACTCAGACTCCAATCCATGTGCTGCACATTATTTTCAGCGGGGGCATCCCATGGGAACTAGTTGGAGGGAGGCAATTTGCATTCATTGTGTTCATTTGTACAAGTAATTTGTGGCAATCTGCGGGCCTCTTGTTGATCTGCTGTTTGAATCAACATTTTCTGCGGTTTGATTTATTCGACGCGGACTCTGATGTTGACATATGAGTCTTTTAAGGGCAAGATAGCAGTTGCCCCTAAATACTGGAACTTGTTCAGTGATTTGTCAAGAGCTTAGGTTTGTTTTGGGGAAAGCTGCTTTCAGACCAGTGCGTTTGCCACTTTTCTTGAATGGGGTGCAAAATAGGGTCTGAAACTCTATTTGTCAGGGATCCGGGTAGAGGGATGGAGCGAGGACTCAGTATTGCAGAAAATGGCTTTTAATGACAATAAAAATAAACAAAACAGCAACAAAAACTACCCCGAGGGGGAAAAACAGGCTGGCAAGGCAAGGCAAGGCAAGACAAGGCAAGGCAAGGCAAGGCAGGATCTGGACACATCCAGGGATTGACGAAGACATCCAGGGGGAAATAACGACAACGAACGGACGCAGGACTGCAAACACAAGGAGAATAAATGGAGAGCAAATGAGGAGGGTAACGAGGGAGCACATGTGGGGCAAATTAACTAATAATCAGGTAACAAGATGGGAGGGGTCAAGACAATTGACATGAGCACATGGCACACCGAATCAAAGACAAAAAGCCATGTGCTCACACAAAACAAAACACAAGCACATGGCCAGCAAAACAAATCACAAGCCATGTGCTAGAACAAGAGACACGAACACGCAGCTAAGGAGAAAACTCATAAGCCACGTGTTCACACAAGACAACAAGAAAAGCACGCGGCTGAACACAAACCGCGTGCTTCACAAAACACAACACACGTGGACAGAAGAGCGCACGGCCGAGCGAACTCGAGACCGCACGCTCCCACAACAGACAGAACATGGAGCGCGAGTGTCCGGACCCCGACACGAAACCGAAACTCAAGACATGAGTGCCGGGATCTGAACACCACGCTCCAACATGAAACAGTACATGCAGACGAGAGCGCACGGCTCGAGCACACTCGAAGCCGCACGCTCACATGAAAACAATGACATGACGCGAGTGTCAGGGCTCTGTCACAAAACCATGAATTACACAAGACCGAAGTGACAGAACCCTGACACTATTTCAAATGGTCAGAAGATACTGATTGTGAAACTCTGTTAAAAAGGTCAAATACTAAATATGATATGAACTATTTATTTTATTTCATTTTATTATTTTATGTTATTTCTTTTATTGTTCAATTCTGGCAACCCTGGAAACTAATTTTGGCATGGCTCAGTTTGTGAGATTCTGTTATGTTTTTTTTTTAATCAAACATTAAACACAAATTGAATATTAATAATAATCATTATTATTTTTTATGATTTTTACAATAATTATTGTTGTTAATAATAATAATAATAATAACTTTGGTTATTTAGTTATACAAGGTTGGGAAAAATAGTGGTTTATAGTTGGTTACACCATATATTTTCCATAAATTATGGAAAACGTTTTTTAATATATTTTATTGTACAAAAATATTTAAGTTTCATAACTTTGCTGAGCTTGACAAATGCAGTCAATAGTACAATTTGTGTATAAATGAAGAAAGTGAATTGAAGTTGTTTGGCTTTCAGAATGTTAAAGAATGTTTTTGTCATTTTTAATTTTTTTGTATTTTGTTTTTATAATTGTTTTATAGTTGTAACAAAGTAATGTTGAGCACAGGTTTGCCTGCAAATGTGGGACACAGATGAAATAAAAGTAATTCAACATATTTGAATGTAATATAATTTCAGCTCTTTTTTCTCTCAAAATGTCATAATTGATTCAAAATGATGACGTTGAACTATTTTATTTGTTATTCTATTTTATACAGTCTAGAAAGTGATGAGGTGGCACAGGCCAAAATCACCATTTTAAGGGCGAGATTTGATGTGTTTGAAAACACCATCTTTTTCTGCAATGCTAATTTTATTTTAAATAATACTTCATGTAAAGTATCTAACATTTCTTTCCCTCAAACACCTTTAAAAAGCAACGGGACACCTAAACTGTACACTACTCATACAGTAGAAAGCGGTGATTAGCGTCAGCTCCAGACTCCAGTGTGAATTGATTGATTGAGAGTGACCTGATGGTTTTCTCTGAACAGGTGTCCCGCGGCCAACAGTGAGCTGGCACCGTAAGGAGGGTCCGCTGGGCGCCAGCGCTAGTCCTCTCCTGGACGGATCTCTGCTCCTGAGAAACCTCACACCGCAAGACTATGGCACCTACTCCTGCGTGGCTGCCAACAGCATTGGAAAGTCGGTGGCCTCCGGCCTGCTGCGTGTGGCGGGTGAGTAGCGATTCCCATAGCAGCTGTATGTCAGTCCACACTTCTCCGGGTGACAGGGAAATCCTTGCATGACAGCGTTTCAGTGCTAAGTGAACCACATTCTGTGGGTTGGCTCGGTTTCCGACAAAGTCAGCGGGAGATTTGCGAGTCGCTTATTGATATTGGCATCATTTGGTGCGTCTTATTGAGAAATAACGTGAGACCTACAGCCTGAAGGGGTGGTAAAATCCATTTTTGCAGCGAAATGAAGAAATATTCCCTTCTTTATAGAGGCCATTTGTCTCTTGAGATCTTATAGGCCACAAAAAGAAGGCAGTCGAGGCCTTGTTTGGCATCAGATGACACAATTTCCCTCCGTATTTCATTAATTGAGGTCATTTCTGTCTCCATCACAGTCAAAAGCAGCTGTAATCTCTCTGCTGATTAGGAAAAAGAGTAATAATTCAGCTGCTTGAAGTCGTTCAACCATCAAAGGAATAATCTTTACCTGTAGGAATGCTTTGGTTGATTGCGTTTGATGGTGAGATGTTTGATGACACATTGCTGTCCTGATGCCAGGAGGAGCTATGGGTGAATCTGAGCACCAGGCTTCAAAGGAGATGAACAGGAAGAGGGTTCTGATGGCCTCAGTGATCGGCACCAGCGTCACAGTCAAACCTGGAGATACCTTACGGATAGGTACTTTCATGTTGTTTAAATGCACTCTTAAAAATAAAGGATCCAAAAGGGGGTATTTGCAGCAATGCCATAGATCAAAATAATTTTGGGTTCCCCAAAGAACCTTTTTTTTCTTAGAACATTTTATAATCTAAAGAACCTTTAGATTCCATGGATGTTAAAGGTTCTTCACTGAACCATCAATGCCAATAAAGAACCTTTATGAGTGTATGTTTTGGAATTTAAACACCATATTATCAGTCTTACCTAACGGCTGTATGATTTTTTATTCTGTGTTAAAGGGTTAGTTCACCCAAAAATGAAAATTAGGCTGCGTTTTACTCACCCCCGAGGCATCCTAGGTGTATATGACTTTCTTCTTTCAGACGAATCCAGTCGGAGTTATATAAAAAATTGTCTTTGATCTTTCAAGCTGTCACTCAGCGGGTGTTGCATTGCTTCAGTCCAAAAGAACTTAAATAAAAATCGCCCATCCATAAAAAAAGTGTCTCACACGGCTCTGGGGGGTGAACAAAGGCCTTCTGTAGCGAATTGATGCGTTTTTGTAAGAAAAATATCCATATTCAAAACGTAATAATCACTTTAATCTAGCTTGCGCTCACAGTTGTACACGGAA